ATTTTGGAAACCCTGCGCAATGAATTACGTATCTAGGCGTTAACACAGAATATTGATAACACTGTATGACCATTTGAATCAAATATATTCCGAATCAAAAAGTCTAAAAGATCCATTATTTTTCAAGAAAGCTCTTCCATTTTTGTTCATAAAAGCTAAAACGGTGTAAAATAATGCATGGTTAGACAACTTATTTTTTCTATATGAAAATATATTTGTAAATCTTTTATTGAATAGGCATCCTGCACCCGTAAACTTATTACAAGTCTCGTTCCAGATTATGAAAAAAAGAACTTTTAACCCGTGGTCAATTGGAAGATGGGGTTGCTAAACTTTTGAAGAATAGTGTACACCCCCAATCCGCACTCTGAAATCACGTATGGTACATTAAGAGAATGGTACCGTATGGTACCGTTCAAGCATGGTTTCATACAGATTTCACGGTACAGTACGGTATATACAGGGTTGGCAAATAAAAATTGGAAGATTTTTTGTATATATTCAATTTCTTTTATTATTGCAGTTCAATCTACAAAAATTCAGAAAAAGGTAAACGATTATTTCTGAAAATGTTTAAGATGAATATAGTATATATAATTATTTTTATAATCTTTGTACTGCGTATGTCGTGAAAAATCTCCAAATTTTCTCAGCTTGAGACATCACTGCTGAAAATATACCCTTTAAATGGTCTATTACACAATTTCCATCATTAAAAACATATAATGTAGTTATCTCTAGCAAAGGCAAGAGATGCCTGCCTTGGATAGTATAGCTTAACTGACCACAGTCTTTTCAAAACTGGCACAATATGTTTAGGAAACCCTTGCGATGAGTAAGTAAATGTTGAGCTTGCATATTCATATTTATACAAGCTGCATTTGACAATGAATTGTTTTTCAATTTCCTAATGTATTGAAGAAAATACATTACTAACAAAAAAGTGACAATGGATGGAAAAGTGTTCCAATATCTTGGCCCACTCTATCCAGGGTACCGTACGGTACCATTATTTTACGGCATCGCATAGTATCGTAGCCGTACCGTGGGAACAGAACATGATTTTTCACAACGGAGGAAAATGGGTATAAAATGACAAAATGTCAGCACTTGGTTGTGTTGGAATAACAAAACTGTAACGATCCGACACCAAAACGCCAACTATAACAGTGTCACGATTTCTTGCCGATGACATGAATCTGATAAGAAACCATGCAAGACTAACGACACTGATATGACCTTAGCTAAATCATGTGATGCGTGATAAGAGGCATACGATACAGTTCGAGACCATGATTAGCATAATATATAGTTAAAATAAAGCAAGGACACAATAACAAATTAGAAATATGTGTGAACTGGAAAACTGCTACCAAGTGTTGATATAATTGACTTTTGTAACAAATACAACTAATTTTTGTTTATTAAAGCAACAATAAAACTTTTAGACTTTATGGATTTATTTCTCGTTCTTCCTTCAAAGGAATTTACAGTATATTACCACTCCGTTGGAAATACATAAGACGAATAGTTGAGAGCTATTGACAGTGTCGGTGAGAGCTGATGATACCGTACACAAGCGTATATAGTAAAAAATAAATACTCATTACAAATTACTATAGGGTGACCCCAAAACATAATAAAACAAAACTTAATACTATTCTAAACCTATTTAGAGTTCCCTGTTGGTAATACATCTTATTGTGATAGTATATGAAATGATAATTTAGGAGCTCAAAACCCAACTAATGAGGTATTGTATCAGCTTAATGGTAGTGATTATGATATAGTAATGTTTCTCTTGTGCAATTGTATCCTCCATAAACAATCGTTGTTATTATTAACACACAATGAAGAATATCATAACACTAAAACAGCAGATAAAAGTTTGCCTTCAGATTGAGACTATAGTTACATCAAAACCTGTGTAAGTGGAACACTTTGGTATTTTAAAAGTGCTCATCTCGGGAGGTGTTCAACAGAGAAAAGATATTCATTTTACATCTTTGACATAACTTTTAACTTAGAAACATAATAACAAAACATAACTTTGAAAAGTGTTCCACTTATGAGAGTGTTCATCTACAGGAGTGTTCCACTTAAAAGGCGTATTATGAGTAACAATAACCTAATGAACAGATAGTTTGTACAATACTTTAAACGAGTAATCATTTGTTTGAGACGCTTAATGCCAAACACCGACGCCAGTCACAAAAACGATGTCTGGTCTATTATTAGTCACAGCTTCTTAGTAGTGATATAAATGGTAAAAAGTATTAATTGCATATGTTTCTATCATTAATTTCTCAAAACAGCCATCATTATTATTTGACGGTTCATAAATTATATATCCAAAGTATGAAAGGAATTTTTCCTTTGTTTCCAAGTTCATCTTTATTAACAGCACAATGTGTAAAAATCATGGTGATCAAAATAAAAAACTACTTCATATCTTCCTAAAGTCTATTTGAATCATATGATTAATTAATTACAATATGATGTTTTCTAATTAAATTATTCCATAAAATCTTTTTTCATGGTTATAAATGCACTTCAACGTCAACGTTGCAATTTACTACAATCTAAATATTTGCATACACTTAAGACTGGGGAAGGCAATTGGGAATTTATTTTGTAATCAATCATGGCTTAATACAGGGTGACACAAAAAAGTGCCGCACACACAATGTCGAATAAATAGTCAGAAATCACGTAGACAAAAAAGTCAGGGTATTTTTTGTGTCACCCTGTACTAATCCAACCAGATTGTTTATTCACATGTTTGTTTTTTATATCCAATAATAAACACTTGTGCATTATTCATTTTCAAATTCAGGACTCAAAATAATTTAGCAAATATTCATGACGTCATTCCCTGGTCATGTTGAACTCAAGCAAACGCAACATATTCCAGTTCCGTGTTTCTGTATATATTTATGCATTGTTGATGTTTTTAAACCATTTTCTTGATTTGAATTCTCCAAATGGATCAATCCCCCATTTACCTTAAAGCCAACAATGGACCTCTGCCCGGAGAAATAAATATTATGTTTCATACGTTGACATCGAATATAAAATCTATCTGTTTCATCTGCAATAAATATTTTTACTCTACATTTTAAGTACATCCCATAACCATTATGGTGAAAACTAAACTAAATGTAGATGTGCTACAGAGCATGACAGTATACATACGTGAGTCAACAATAATTCAACAAAAACCAAAGTGTACAGATATAATGTTGTAAAACGTGGCAAAATATGTATTTGGCAAGTTCTTACATATGTTTTAGATTTTAAACTCAATTTGAGTCTACATCTACTAAAAATAAAAATTTTTGACAAGTTAATAATAGATTTCATTCCACAAAAAAAATCACTGTTAATTCTAATTCTGATTGGTTGGTGACTCAAATCATTGGATTGCTTACACCTTGTGACAATTCTTCAAAGACAGTTATTATGCATTTGCAATAATTATGCAATTTTAATATGCTATAACATTTTATTTCTGTTTTTACATTTACTTCTGACTAGTTGTATAAATAAAGTCCTTACAAATATATATAATATACCCATATATGCATCATTAGAAAAATCCCCAGTCCATTGGAATCATTTCCCAACAAGTACTCTAAATAAGGTGATATATGGGCATGTACGGTACATTACAAGGTCACTCTAAAGATAAACACAAAGCCCTCGTAAATCTAGCTGAATAAACTAAAAAATAGATACAGCATGAAGGTTCTCTTTCATGTGTATCTAAAATGAGCCAACTTTAAATGATCAAAAATAAATTCAGTTGACAAGGTTAACAGCTTCCAAAACAAGGCATGATATAGTCCCAATCCTTATTCAGAATAGACATTGGCAATGACCTGCTTAAAGAAAATATCAAATATGAAACACAAAATACATTATAATTAGGATTTCAAACATAATGGTCAAAACTGACCTTCAGACTAGTTAAATAAACACAGAATGTTTTGAATCCTATCTGGATCTTTTATAAACTGTATTAAAACTGAACTGAAGTGACATACCTCTCGAGTTAGATGATCTTTTTATTGAAAGCTTAAATTTTAGTTTTTAATCAAGCTCAATTTCAATACAGTTGGTAAGGATCCATATAGGATTCGACACATTCTGTGATTTCAAATAATAGAGAGGTTAGGTTAGGCAACCCTACTTTTTACAACGTAAACGCAGGTTTTTCTCAGGATGTGACGTGCAAAGCCGCTTTGTACGCCGTTAGTGTGAACTTAGCTTAAAGGTTGTGTAGAAGAAAAGTGTTTTTGTGATTTCATAACCAACCTGAATAACATGTTTAAGAATAGTAACGTATATATTTACTGGCATATTGGATACTATTAAAATTGGTCTTATGAGAAAATCAAGTGTTGAATCCAATCACAGCTTCAGAAAGAAATAATCCACAATGAAACATTACATGAGACAAGAGCTATTAGCTCTCTCTCTAGCTACAATAATTTAAAATAAACAATATGTAATAGAAACAAATGACAATGAATTTTTCCATTCAGATCTGAAGCCAATCTACAAGGTAAACATGCAAATTGACAATGGCTCTATGCGGTACAATGTTTTTAGAGTGCAGATTGAGGATGTACATTGTACAGCAAAACATGAGTATCTGAACACCTGTCTAATCTGAACACCTCCTAAATCTCAATGCACAGCGGACGAATTGCTGTTCTGACGAGTCAAATTGGTTCATGCTTTTCATTCCTGATCTGGCCGATAGATGTCTCGCTCTATAAATATATATTATATGATGTCAAATATATATTATATAACGTCATATGTTATATATGACGTCATATATTATATCAGGAATGACGTCATACTTTATTTTCGTCCAGTGTATAATGAAATAGCGCACCTAACGGATGGCGCGTAGTTTAAAATTCTCGCCTGCTGTTTTGTGAACACTTTTTCTTGGTCTCATTTTCTCCCATTGCCTAATATGTTTATAAAACCTTGAAATTAGAACCCAAACATTTTTGGCTGGTTCAAGAGGAGTTTGAATTAGACAGGTTTTACTGTATAAGAAGTTGATTATTCAAATTCTGCTATAGCTCATCCTTGTCTTTATTTTGTTGTGCATTATCATTATATTCCTTGCCATCAATGTCTTCAAGATCAGCCTCTTTGAACCATGTGTCATAGACTTTGATTGGATCATTGTTCCAATGTTTGTGGAATGAGATTGGACTTTGCCAGCTGAGGTAACCTTCAGAATAATCATCCGGTCTGGCCTGGAAATATATATTCAAATCCAGACAATGTCAATTTAATCTCACCTTTATTTTCTAAAAGTACAATAACGTCATTTCAAAGGGTAATATAGTGAAATATTGGACCGAGGGCTGAAGGCCCAAGGTCCAATATTTCACTATATTGCCTGCACTGAATGATATCTAATTTCCCGGGGAAAATTGTCGGTCGTTAAATGCATTGCATGCATTCTCGACCAGTCGTTAATGCATTCTTGACCACCACTATGACGTCACATATTGCTCAGGTCGATATAATAAATAAAAAAATTAATGCCTTCTAAACTAGCACTAAAACCCCTAGAACTGGCCCGGCAAGGTGGTAATAATATGAAGTATTATGTACAAGTTATTACGCATGACTCCCTAGAGGATGTACACAGTATAAATCTCTTGCCCGTAGCCAGCTTTTACCAGGAGGGGGAGCTTTTTTCCAGGGGGGGAGCTTTTTCACAATTTTGACTAAAAATCATGCGAAAAATTCTCAGAATGGTGAAAAACTGCATGATTTTGAAAGAATTTCTGGCCAGGGGGGGAGCTTCTGCTCCCCCAGCTCCCCCTCTGGCTACGGGCCTGAATCTATACATTATTTGATTTTAGAAAGTAGCATATACAACATAATAGCTTGAACAGATTACAAAGAAATGTTTCTCCATGTAAGTTCATGCATTATAATATGATAAAATATCACAGCCCGATTGCAATGACAAAAGTTTAACAGCTGTTACAGATTCCCTTCACAAGAAATGGTTCCTACTACATGGGGTGACCCAATAAATCAGCTGTCTTTAAGAATCAGCTGTCTTTAAGATGTTAAGAACACATACCTGGTGAAAAAGAGGGGAATGTACTAATGGAATATTTAGACCTCTACAGAAAGATCCAAGAATCATATCATCTGGAGTATCTAACGATGGACAGTTGAATGGACGGTCGCCATCAAACATTAACTTCTCAATGGCTGCACGACTGAATACCATGCTGAAATGGAATAAGCATCATATAGTAGTCAATGGAACAAGACAATATGTGTAATTCAAGTTTAAACGGTAATTTCAACCTCTTGTGAGATTGATTGTCCCTAGTAATCATTTTTTTCCTCACCATGTACATTATTCATCATTTTATTCATCATCAGGACAATCATGTATCATATAAAAGGGGACGTTAATCTTCAGAGGAAAAAATAATTTTACACCAAGACATTGCATTGCTCTTCCTGGATTTATAATGAATACTTCTGGAAATCAAAAGTGTCAATTTTTAAAAACCAATAACTATTCTGTTTTTCCACATTTTTTTAATCCACATGTACATACCCTCCGCCTCCTGTGGGGTAGTTGTAGCCATAACCCTTAGCAACACCGTAACCATAGCGTTCTCCTATGACAATTCGCTCATTTGGATCATAGCATGACAGGAACCTGCGTAGCCTGTTAAAACTGCAAACAAATATATTTGTAACTATGAATTTAATTGCCATCATATAATACTTACCCATAAGCATTGTAACCATTTGATCATTTCTGACCAATCAGAGTCAAACATTAAGATATTAGATACCAATTGGGTAAGTAATATCAGTGGAGTATTTACACCATAAGTAACTAAAATTACATATATTGTACCTTAGTACTGTGTCGTCATCTGCAACGACTATCCAAGGTTTGGAGATGAGCTCTGGGTGAGTAGCTGCCCTCTTTAAAATAAACTCAAGTTTACCACAGTGTCCTAAAATAAATACATCAATAAACTTGTATTCATAAGACTAATTCTAGTGTAGATATTGTCAGAATTCTGAATAGGTTATTAATAGTGATCTCCCCATGCAAGATTTCATGTTTTTCTCATTTTCAAGCAGCGTCTCCTATTTGCTTCAATACAATATATAATAATACTGAATAAGAGACAAGAATTCATTGATATCTCCACATAATTAAGTCCCTAAAGAGATATCTTCCATCCTCCGATCACAGGGCTTCAAAATCCAGAATATATTCTTTCTTTTTACCCCCTGCGATAAGCAGTTAGCATTTCCCCGATTGAGAACTCGCAATCTGATTGGCTGTCGCAACAGTGCGACAGAAATCATGTATAAGTCATTGCGCATAATTGGATCACGTGATTCAATTTAATCGGTCCCTTCCAAATTAGTTAACTCATTCGCGCGCTCAGTCGACTTTTTTCGCCAATACGCTTCATGGCGGATGTCGAATTCAGGTCGACAGGCTATATAGGGGAAGTTTTAACAGACTTAGAAAGATGTCACCCTAGTATTGCAGTGCCAATGTTCGGTACTCACATTGACCGGAAGTGATTTAAAATTAATTCGGCGAAGAATGATTGAAAAAAATTATTTTGGTCACTTATTGCTTTATTTCGAAATAAATACGAATCTGGAAGTGATCAGACATTGTGGTATTTAAAAAGCGCTTGATTTAGACTGGGTAATGATGATCAAATCGCTGCTATATTCAGCGATTCTTGAAGTGAAGCCTAATATTTGAAGCTTCAGAAAATGAAATTTCAAAACGATGTTGGGCCTGACAACTCTGTGGCTGGGGGACAGGCCAGGGAAGCTGCTGGGGTACACCAAGGTAATATTTAGTAGGGTTCTTATGTTTTTTTGTAATATACATGTTTAGGATTTTTTATCATCAGTGCCTCTCATTGTGATGAGTTCATACATTAACATATGATTTATACATATGTTTCTAATCATGAGTAAAAATTTGGTGGTGTTATCTCTGTTGGTTTAGATTTTATGTCACTTTCAAATTGGCAGGCATGAAAATCCTAATCCTTAAAGTAACTTTCAATGATTTCATCTAAAAATTAAAACCCTTGGAAATACTAAATATGGTTTAAGTGCCATATATAAAATGTATTTCAGAAATATTGTGGATCAAAATGAAAAAAAAAAAAAAAAAGAATAAAAACATATTCCACCCATGGGATTTGAACCCAGATCTTGTGGAATAAAAGTCTGATGAAGCCTAAGCTCTAACCACTACACCACAATGCCAAAGCTTTTTGAGAGAAGAAATTCTTTAACTATATAATCATGGACGAAAAAAGGCTTATTTACATGCTTTAATTTCTTAAAAATGATCAGCATTACTACTAATAACAACATTTTGCATGTCTGAGTAAGTATTATGATCTACATTTAGAATAAACATTGTTTTATTCAGTTTTCATTTTGGGTATGACTTCCTGTCAAAACAGTGTTAAAAATGCAGGGCTCAACAAAAATTTTCAATTAGAAAATGATATATATCCTTTGATCAGCCGTTTTTGGCACCTGAACTCATCCTACTATAAAGGTAAGAGCATTTTCTTGAGACATATGGCTCGAAATCTCAAATTTCTCCTTCTAAGTCTTAGAAAGACACTTTAATAAATTAACTAACGCTCAGTAGCTTTTAAAAATAATTAAACAGCGCGCCAATGAGTTAAAGCAGGGGGAAGAAGGAAGTGCAGATAGGGGGAAGAAGGAGGTACAGATTCTGGATACCTGCTTAGGAGGATGGGTATCTTCATATAGGGATAGATTCATCTTTGAATTCTGGGTATTTCCTCCTCTTTCACTTAATCAAACTGTTCTGGGTATTTCCTCCCCTTTCACTTAATCAAACTGTCCTGGGTATTTCCTCCTCTTTCACTTAATCAAACTGTTCTGGGTATTTCCTCCTCTTTCACTTAATCAAACTGTTCTGGGTATTTCCTCCTCTTTCACTTAATCAAACTGTTCTGGGTATTTCCTCCCCTTTCACTTAATCAAACTGTTCTGGGTATTTCCTCCCATTTCACTTAATCAAACTGTTCTGGGTATTCCCTCCCCTTTCACTTAATCAAACTGTTCTGGGTATTTCCTCCCCTTTCACTTAATCAAACTGTCCTGGGTATTTCCTCCTCTTTCACTTAATCAAACTGTTCTGGGTATTTCCTCCTCTTTCACTTAATCAAACTGTTCTGGGTATTTCCTCCTCTTTCACTTAATCAAACTGTTCTGGGTATTTCCTCCCGTTTCACTTAATCAAACTGTTCTGGGTATTTCCTCCCATTTCACTTAATCAAACTGTTCTGGGTATTTCCTCCCCTTTCACTTAATCAAACTGTTCTGGGTATTTCCTCCCATTTCACTTAATCAAACTGTTCTGGGTATTTCCTCCCCTTTCACTTAATCAAACTGTCCTGGGTATTTCCTCCTCTTTCACTTAATCAAACTGTTCTGGGTATTTCCTCCTCTTTCACTTAATCAAACTGTTCTGGGTATTTCCTCCTCTTTCACTTAATCAAACTGTTCTGGGTATTTCCTCCCCTTTCACTTAATCAAACTGTTCTGGGTATTTCCTCCCATTTCACTTAATCAAACTGTTCTGGGTATTTCCTCCCCTTTCACTTAATCAAACTGTTCTGGGTATTTCCTCCCATTTCACTTAATCAAACTGTTCTGGGTATTTCCTCCCATTTCACTTAATCAAACTGTTCTGGGTATTTCCTCCCCTTTCACTTAATCAAACTGTTCTGGGTATTTCCTCCTCTGTCACTTTATCAAACTGTTCTAGATGATAAAGTGAGACTTACCAGATTCTGTGTTTGGAAGTCCAGTTTCCACAGTGGGTATGTCATTATCTAGGGTCTCACTGATGTACTCTATATGAGGAACATGTTTACCCCAGGTCTTTAAAACAATTGGTACTGAAATCAAATCAAATCAGAGAACATTAATTGTACCAAAGTGTATAATTATGGGAAGAGGAGAAACAAAATATATGTCTGTGTAAAACATTTGAGGTCTTTCTTAAAATGTTTCAGGCAAAATTGACAATTTTAGCCCCTTCGCATAAGAAAATTTGGAAGGGTCCTTTAAACCCTTTTTCATTGAATCTCTACAAAACTGTCAACTCTTACTCTCGAGCACACATACAGTGTATACATAAGTGTATATAGTTTTCAGAAATTATATCATCCTTTTTGAACATACCCCTGTCTTTATGGAACTTCTCACATGTCTTCACTGCAATATAGATGTCATCCTTGTCAACTGGAGAACCCTGGAAAATATACATTTGTATTTATTAGATCTTTCTAATAATAGATGGCAGTACTGATTTGTTTGGATATACTCTTAATTTTCCAAGTTAAATATTTATTCATCATTGGTAGCTAAAATGCTCAAATATAAGTTCACTTAAAGCAGTACGCCCTAATAAAATTGTTTTTTTTACCATTTCATGCACTTCCCTGAATTACCAATGCTTTTAGATATCTTTCCCAATAGTCAGAAACTGTTTTCTCTGTGTTATGCCAAAGCACAACTAAACAGGTACTGCCAAGAGTGAAACAAACTAAAACGAGCATGCCTGATATTTTTACCATCTAAGTGGTTTCCTGAAAAATTGTAACTATGTTTGTCAGCTTTGGGAATCATATTTTGTTTTTGTTCTAACTTTTCTGAAATGACAACTTTCTGAGTGAAACACTTGCAGGCCCGTAGCCAGGGGGGTGGGGGTTTTCGGGCGAACCCCCCCTGACCAAAATTTCTTTCAAAATTATGCAGTTTTTCACCATTCTGACTATTTTTAAAGTGATTTTTGGCCAAATTTGCCAAAGTGAACCCCCCTAGAATTTTTTTGAAAAGTGAACCCCCCTTGGAAAATTCTGGCTACGGGCCTGACTTGTGTTAAACATTGAACTGAAAATGAATTATACTTACACATTGTGGGAGGGAGGTAGTATATAAAGTGGCACACTCTGGCCCAGGATTGGCTGTACAAAACCCTGGCTGTTCAGTTAACTCATGTCCCTCCCCATCTTTCCATATATACAAAGCAAGCTACAAAACAAGAATCAATCAATATGTTGTTTAAATAATTCTAAACAAACATATTTTGAATATTCATACTTTTTTTTATTTCATTTAATCAATAGTTTGTATTATCAATGCTGAAACAATAATGGTAAAATCACAATTTTGAAATAAACAAGCTACTGTGCAAATGGTTTCAATTCAAATAATTTTTGTATTAAAAATATTTAAATCCTCTCATTTCTAACATTTCCCCAGGCAACTGCATTTAGTTTGTTCTCAGTCATACCTGATTAGACACTGCAGTATTTGTATTGCTAGTCATTAAAAGACAAAATTTTGTCAAAAGCCAAATATTAAACGTCAAATTGGATGATGGTAATATTTACATAGAACTTGCAACATGAATATCAGAGATGTCAATTAATACATATATACTTAATCTGGTACAATATATTAAGTCCCAATTTTAAATAGTCAAAAGATTTTTCCTTAAATTATTTTATTGAGATACATTGGAATACTTTACTTGCCTCGTGTTTTGGATCAATTGAAAAATTATTGTCCAACACTTCAGATCTTATTTTCTTCTGTAAACTGGAATAAAAATAGTATAATAAAAGGCTTTAAATTATTCATTTCAATATTTTTACAAGTCACTTTTGATTTTTAGTTTCATACATCAATTTGATTTTTCATTTTATAAAACATTTTAATGTCCCTTTTCTTTTGTAGGTCACAGTATTATACTAATTTAATTTAATTCATTCATTTCAAGATCTTTAGGTTTTTTGTTTCATACAACCATCTTTCTGTATATTCAGGTATTTTTCAGCACTTTTGAAACATCACTGTTACTACATATAACTACATGTACGTATTGTATTTATTTTTAATCAATGAATTTTTTTCTTTTTCTCGAAGCTGATTATTTAATGTTTGTAATCTCAATGATAATAATATAAAAATGACGGATGGATGGACCAATGGACGGACAGACCAATGGACGGACGGACCAATGGATGCCTGGTCGATCCCATAGGCTCACTGTGTGAGCCAAATATGGATCCTCGTTATACCTGATTAATAAATCTCTGCTTATTGCAAACCCAGCTGCAAAGTCAGGGAAGGCAAACTTGGATGGATTTTCTATGAATTTGAAATGATGTATAATAGTTGCTTCTTTATCTCTGAGAGCCTTTCCTAGAAAGTGTGGCTGAAATTAAAACAAACAAAAAACAAAGATCAGCAATGTAAAGATGAAGTAGAATACTAAAAGCCATGTACATGTAGCTTTCTGAGTGTTCTACAAAACTTAGATTTTAGTGAAACATTGAATGAGGTACAGGCCCGTAGCCAGGGGGGGGGGCGTCGATGGGTCCGAGCGAACTCCCCCTGGCCAAAAAATCTTTCAAAATCATGCAGTTTTTCACCATTCTGAGCTCTTTTTAAGTGATTTTGGCTATTTTTGAACCAAAATTGTAACAAGTGAACCCCCCCTGGAATTTTTCAAAAAGTGAACCCCCTTGGTAAATCCTGGCTATGGGCCTGAGGCACTATAATTCAGAGTAAACTCTTTGAGAAAGTACTGTGACAGTGACAACTTTAGGCTGTGCAAAATACTAACTATGTCTAAACACATGTACAGTATATGTTTTGTGTAATATAATTAATAGAAGACATATTTATAGTTTCAAAATATAATACTTCTATGTATATTGTTGAACAATGTGAAAAAATTTGGGATTTCTGTCATTATCTACACATACAGTAACTTTGTGAGTAATCAGGACAAAATCCTTACCTCATTTTGGTCATATTTACTGAGTATATTAATCAGTTTTTTCAGATCTATACGTGTCTCCTCCTCACAGAAAACTACCCACTGTATTGTATCTTTGTAGCCATCATATATGCTGAAATAAACATCAACTATTACTCCTCATAGAAGACTACCCACTGTATTGTATCTTTGTAGCCATCATATATGCTGAAATAAACATCAACTATTACTCCTCACAGAAGACTACCCACTGTATTTTATCTTTGTAGCCATCATATATTCTGAAATAAACATCAACTATTACTCCTCACAGAAGACTACCCACTATATTGTATCTTTGTAGCCATCATATATGCTGAAATAAACATCAACTATTACTCCTCACAGAAGACTACCCACTATATTGTATCTTTGTAGCCATCATATATGCTGAAATAAACATCAACTATTACTCCTCACAGAAGACTACCCACTATATTGTATCTTTGTAGCCATCATATATGCTGTAATAAACATCAACTATTACTCCTCACAGAAGACTACCCACTGTATTGTATCTTTGTAGCCATCATATATGCTGAAATTAACATCAACTATTACTCCTCACAGAGGACTACCCACTGTATTGTATCTTTGTAGCCATCATATATGCTGTAATAAACATCAACTATTACTCCTCACAGAAGACTACCCACTGTATTGTATCTCTGTAGCCATCATATATGCTTAAATAAACATCAACTATTACTCCTCACAGAAGACTACCAACTGTATTGTATCTCTGTAGCCATCATATATGCTAAAATAAACCTCAACTATTACTCCTCACAGAAGACTACCCCCTATATTGTATCTGTGTAGCCATCATATATGTTGAAATAAACATCAACTATTACTCCTCATAGAAGACTACCCACTGTATTGTATCTTTGTAGCCATTATATATGCTGAAATAAACATCAACTATTACTCCTCACAGAAGACTACCCACTGTATTGTATCTTTGTAGCCATCATATATGCTGAAATAAACATCAACTATTACTCCTCACAGAAGACTACCCACTGTATTGTATCTTTGTAGCCATCATATATGCTGAAATAAACATCAACTATTACTCCTCATAGAAGACTACCCACTGTATTGTATCTTTGTAGCCATCATATATGCTGAAATAAACATCAACTATTACTCCTCACAGAAGACTACCCACTGTATTGTATCTTTGTAGCCATCATATATGCTGAAATAAACATCAACTATTACTCCTCACAGAAGACTACCCGCTGTATTGTATCTTTGTAGCCATCATGCCATCAGCTTTTATGAGTTGTTCGGTCAGAAAAATATATTGCATGTATTTTTCAACACAATAATATTTCGCAAAAAACTGTGAACTGATGGTTGGCTTTGTATGCCCCCAAAGTCCTTCTATGTGACTTCTGAATAAACGAACCCTACACCAATGAGAGTGAGGCCTCCAAAGGTTCAAATATGGGGGGTTCCGGGAATCTAAGGAAGAGACGTCGCAACAAAACACGAAGGTCTAAGCCAGCGTATCAATCTACACCATCGTCTTGGGATGATGATGAAGATGACACTTCCGGCAGTGTTACATCTCCGCCTAATAAACGTCTGGACTTAAATCAAGATGTTGATCGTGAGACATTCTCTACACCAATAGCTAGCCCCGTAAGACCTAGCATGCCTGCAAGACCCTCTCTAAACACAATCCTATCTGATTGTGATCAACAATCAGATCACGATATCCCATCATCTGCACCGGCAGATACAGTTACACATTCTCCACCTCGTAAGACACTACAAGCCGAGATGTTGAAGGATATCAAATCTGGCTTAATTGAGGCAGTAAAAAATGACCTCATAACATTGGTTAAGGATGAACTTATATGTGCTATAAAGACTGATCTCATTAAGACAGTGAAACAAGAACTTTCCCATGAAATGACAAAAATGAATGCACGTCTTCTGAGCATTGAGATAAATGTAAAAAGTGAACTGACATCATTTAAAGAGGGCGCTCTTAACTTTGAACATAAAGTTAACAAGCAAGCATTGGAAATCGAAAATAGACTGAAATCTCTCGAGGAACGACCATTTGAAATTGAAAGTAGATTGAAGTCCCTAGAAGACCGACCACAGATGAATCAGTCAGCTGAAAAGAGTTACCCTCCTGCAACCAGCATCATAGTCAGAAATGTTCCATTTACTACTGGTGAAGATGTCACACTTAAGGCTGGTGTGTTAGTATCAGAGGGCCTGGGAATGAATAAGAATACAGTTATATGTGCTGAAAGAACAAGATCAAGAAACGACAGACCAGGGGTGGTTAAGATACAATTTAATACCGTAGAGAACAAGATTGAAGCACTGCGAAGAAAGAAACAGTTACAGCCAAAGCCAAAATTCCACAATGTATTTATACATGGGGCAAAGTCACATGAAGAACGCTTGATAGAATTGAATACAAAAGAGTTGTTGAGATGCGTACCAGATGGTGATAAGTACACGTTTACTGGAAGTGGTCGTCTTGTTAAACGTGATACGACACATGGTCAGGGAAGCACTTATAGATCTGACAGAGAAAATGGAACTGCTACCGGTGATGATGGATGGGGAACTACAAAGCCTCCTATGCCAAACAGGTCTTTCCCAGCTAGAGGAAGAGGTAGAGGCTGCGGATTTAGAAACTATAGTACATAGGAAATATACCAGCCCACAATTAACATTGCTAGCATAAATATCAATGGTTGGACTGCACAGAATAGTGAACTTAGAAAACAGATAATTACCTATTCAGACAGTGACATTATATGCTTAAATGAAACACATCTGGCTAATGACAGGTTGATAAAGGATGCATTTGATGGAGAATACAAATGGTTTGGACATCATAGAAAAACAGTTAACAAGAAAGCCCATAGAACATTTGGTGGTGTGGGAATTTTTGTAAAAGTGAGATTATTTAATGATTACAGGATTGAAGTGTTGGATAAACAGTATGATGGCATTTTAGCCTTACAATTTATTGATAAGATTTCTAATTACACATTTATTGTATATTGTGCCTACTTACCTCCAGAAGAATCTCTTTATGGAAGAAATGCTGATGCCTTTTTTAATCATTTGCTTTCTTTGATATATTTATATTCACAAGATAGTGATGCTTATTTTTTGACTGGAGATTTGAATGCACGTACTGGTCATAAAGTTGATTTTATTGGTGATATAGATGGTGTTGCTAATGATCTTAAGCGTATTAATTTAGAAACTAATGTAAATAGTCATGGAAATAGTTTACTGGAATTCTTAAAAGACTCAAAGATGTGTATCATAAATGGCAGAGTGACAAGAGAATTCAATAATTTCACATGTTGTAGAACCCAAGGTAGATCAGTGGTGGATTATTTTATATTGCCACATGATAATTTAATTAATTGTTCGAAATTTGAAGTGAAACTTTGCACAGATATAATAAATGAGCTTGGTATCCAACAAATGTTAAATGATAAATGCAGATCTCCTGATCATTCATTATTAGTGCTACATTTCAAATTAGTAAATGACATTAAAAATGAGTCACATTTTGAAGGTTCGGAAAAAATGAAAAATGATGTTAATTGTAATGAATACAAACCTACTAAATATAACACTCGCACTATTCCCCCGAATTTTATGTCATCACCAGAATTGATTGATATTGTCTTAAATTGGATAGCAACAATAGAAAAGGATAGAAGTGAACAAGATGTTCTAGATAATGAATATCATAATTTATGTACAATTATTTTACAGGAAATGAATAACAAGCTTAAGAAATTTACTGTTTTTTGTAAAAAAAAGATATCAAAAGTCAAAGTCATATTGGACTGATGAATTAACTAAACTTTGGAAAAGCATGCATGAAAAAGAGAAAACATTTTTGCAATGTAGAAATAACTGTCACTTAAAGAGTATGTATAGACACAATTTTAAGGTAGCTGCAAGGCAATTTGATAGGTTATTAAGATCATCAAAAAGAAAATATAATCAAACTATTTTAGAAAACATAGATAAAACAAGTGATAAAAATCCAAATGAGTTTTGGAATTTTATAAAAAATACAGGTCCAAAACGTAAAAATGTCATTCCATCAGAGGTTATAGATAAAGATGGTAATGTAAATTATAATATTGATGCTGTATTGAAACATTGGCAAAATGAATATGCTGACTTGTATAATGCCCAGAGTGATGACTATGATGATATATTTTATAGGGATGCTATGGATGAAACAGTTTTGTTGGAAAATACTAATGTTGATCCTTCAATTGACACCTCCTTATCAATTGATGAAGTTGATTTAGCAATAAAATGTGCCAAAGATTTTAAAACTATTGGTCATGACATGATTCCTAATGAAGTTCTGAAATTTAACATTGTGAAACAAGCCTTACATATATTTTTTAATAAGTGTTATCAAATGAGTAAAATTCCAAGCATATGGTTGAAAGCAATAATATTTCCCATACCTAAAGGGGGTGATAAGGATCCAAGAATTCCTCTCAATTATAGAGGTCTGAGTATTTTATCATGTATTTCAAAAGTTTATAGTAGTATTATTAATAAACGATTTAAGCTTTTCTGTGAGGATAATAATCTTTTAGATGACACCCAAAATGGGTATAGGAATGGCAGATCTTGTATAGACCATATTTTTACATTAAACAGTGTTGTAAAGAACAAGATAAGAGATGGTAGGAACTATTTGCATGTTTTATTGATTTAAAGAAAGCCTTTGACTATGTAAATAGAAATCTTTTATTATATCGATTATTAAAATGTGGAGTTAAAGGAAAAATGTATAAAGCCATTAAACTGTTTTTGGTAGGTACTGAATCAGCTGTTAAGATTAATAGATTGATTACAGACTGGTTTGACACTAGATCAGGTGTAAGGCAGGGGGATAGCTTATCTCCAAGTCTCTTTGCATTATTTATAGATAGTCTTCTGAAAGACTTGCAAAGTAGACAGTATGGTGTAAATATTAATGACTCTGTAAATATTTCTGTTTTAGCATATGCCGATGATTTAGTTTTACTTGCAGAATCAGAGAATGACATGCAAGAACAATTAAATATTGTAAATAGATGGTGCTATAAATGGCGACTGAATGTAAATATTTCAAAAACGAAAATTATGCACTTCAGAAAAGTCAATGTTGAGAGAAGTAATTTCAAATTTCAAATTGGGAATGCCCTTGTAGAATATACAGATAAATATACGTATCGTGGTATAACATTTACTCAACATGGTAAATTTGATGAAATTGTAAGAACCTTATCAGACTCAGCTGGAAGAGCACTTGGGTCATTAATTAACAAATGTAAATGGAATAAGGATCTTGGATATAAAACATTCACTAAATTATTTAATGTATGTGTTTTGCCTGTTCTCCATTATGGAGTAGGTGTTTGGGGAGCATACGATTGTTCAACAGTTTGCAATAATGTATTTAACAGAGCTCAAAGATATTTTGCTGGAGTTCATAAATTTGTACCACTTGATGCATTGCATGGCGATTTTGCTTGGACTCCCTTAGAAATTGAAAAAGATCTGGAGATTATTCGAACCTTTAATAGAATGATAATGATGCCAGATAATAGAATTACCAAACAAATATTTAAATGGGATAAAACTGTAAATAGTAAATGGAGTCAAGAGCTCCAAAAAATTTTAAATAGATGTGATTGTCAAGATAATTTTGAGAATTTAGAGTATTGTTATATAGAAA